TCCACATCGATAACCACGTATTCATCCGAAAGGAAGCGACGTGTCGCAGTTGAGCATTTCTAGGAATTTGTCGACATCCGTCTCGCGACTTAGCCCCTTTCCACCTCCGCGACTAACTACGAACTAAACTGCAAACTCCGAGACGTCACGTATTAGCCAATCGGATCGGTCGATGGTGTCAACGCGCGTCTCCGCCGCACGGCACATGTATAATACACAATGCGAGTAATTTTGCGAGGTAGGGTTCAGAGACACACGGTCACGTACACACACAGGAATTACGTGAGACAAACTACGTTGTTCTGTGCGTGATCGCGCACAGGATGTGCTCGCGCATGTTGACGTCTGTACGGGGAATGTCCTGGCAAGGTGTTATGCCAGTAGCATGACGGGAAATTCTGAATCAATACGTTGGAATTCCGACAATCAACGTCGCGGACCGGGGCGTTAACATAACGGGGACTCAAGGAGTGCCGTTACGTTACAAAGGATTATATGATTAGCGACTTCCAACTTCGAGATAACAGCTTTACCGTAACGCTATTTAGCTGTACAGAGAGAAAACGTTTCGCTAAACAGCATTTCGTTGCTAAACTATCATCATCATGTGTATACAGGTTGTCGAATAAAACTTTTATCCCGTGGATCAATATAATGTCGTCCCTCGTGTATTTTTATTTTTGAATACGCCGAAACAATTTTTCTCGATGTAAAAGAAGTATATATATTGTTAATTATTTAAAAAACAACAATTTTTATAAATACTTGCTAATAATTTTTTATAAAAAATGTATTTCTGCTAATAATTATTAGCAAAAATAAATTCCCCATTTGATCAGCATTTTTATAAATTAGAAATATTTGATATCAGCCCTTAAAGAATTTCTTTCTTAAGAGGATGCTGCCGTAGTTCTGTTTTACCGACTATAAGTTAGGTTAGGTTTACTTTTTATTGAATATACAGATTGAAAAATCCTCCACAATAAAAGTACTGATAATAAGGAATGGGGAACGCTGTCCGGCAACTAATTTTTGCTGTTTTATGCCTCGACATCGATTTCGCACGCAAATATACATACATAATTAATTCAAGTACGAATCTTTTGATACAGGCTTTTAATTTCATTTTTATTACTCTGTATTATTCTTTCATGTCATCTCTATTGGGAGCGCTATATTTTGTGCACAAATAAACTACAGAACTTTTGCATTAAATAAGTATTGTTATGAGCTGATGCAAGAGTCCGATAAAAAAACTGTAATATTTTAACTTTTATCGTTTTTTTATACGAAATTACAGCGCTCCCCGTTTATTATTATGAGTACCTTCATTGTGGAGAATTTTTCAATCTGTATATTTAATAAAAAATAAACCTAAATTAAAGTCGGTAAAACAGAACTACGGCTTAAAGAATTTCTTTCTTAAAATTAGACCACTTTTTTGACGTTTATAAATAGGTGTTCTAAAAAAATAAGTGAAAAATTCTTAAATATAATCCTCTGATTCTTTCGCTTTAAATTAACACGTTAATAAAATCATTGCAAAATTATCATACGCAAAAAAAAAAAAAATCAAAATGAGACATCCCGTACGACACTTGTTAGCCTTGCTCGCGTATAAAAAAAAGCGCCCCGAGTAAATTTCCGATAAAAATCTTCACCACGTGCTCCAGCAGCGAAGCGTACATAACATATATGCGCCAACCCCGTATATAGAATACCTAGTTCTCCTGTTTCCGAACACACACCACGTGCGTGTCGATACACATTGTGTTCCGGATCCGTCCTCCCACCCTCTGGGGAGGTTAAGCCACGTGTGGAAGAGGGGTCTACCGCGAAACTACGAAGTTATTGGCGACATATGCGAAAGTTCGTTTAACCCCTTCGTCCTTTCGATGAATATGCAAGAGCCCGCGCCGAAACGAGCCGACGATGTTTCCCGATGCTCGTCGTCGATGCTCCGAGCGGACGTGAAATACGCTTCGAACGATGCATCGCCGGATACAAGGGTAAAAGGAGAGGGAGAGAATCGATATTCCAGGTCCCTCTTTTGCGTGCGAATCGGGGTCTAGTTCGGGGGGATGGATGTGATATACGCCGTATACACGTTACCGCGAAACGATCGTACTTTATTGACCTCCGTCAGTGTTTACTCGCTGCAAGAAATGCCTCGCAACAAATATATATACGTATTATTCGATCTTTTTACGATTGCTGCTAGCTCTCCCGGTTGCTGTTTCGCAGTTTATCACTTAAATTACGTAATTAATGCTGATTTAATACGGGATCTTACATCGATTATGATACTAAAATGGAGCATATAGACCTCTTTAATTTTTTCACGATGGCAAAACACTTTTTAAAAGTTAAAATAAAAGAAATTTTGAAGAATACAGTTTTGCTGCTAGCTGCTCCGATCGTGTGTGCGCGTTTAAAAAAGAACGAAGAGAAACTGTCTAGTCTGAAACTCAGTTGGAAGATAGTCAAAGACACTAAGTCTCTGATAATCCCAAAGTATTATTTCCATTCTGAGGAGAACGTAATCTTGTTTCCTCATGAAAGAATGTTCCGCGTGGCAGACACGTTCCATTTTCTTTGGTCTCCGAAGAGATCGCAACGTGGCTCTCGAGCGAGGACGAGGCCTCTCTTGGAGAATTTTTACTGCTCAAAATATATTTCTCACACCTTCATCGATATTCCATTCGCGGCCTCGAGGGGGTCACGTGCACGCACGCACACTACATACATACATATATATATATATATATATATATACACGAATATGGGCGCGTAAATACACGAGAACTGGCTCGATCCTCGATGGCGTCGCTGTATAATAACTATATTTTGAGGCGCGTTCCCCTGTGCGCAGGACCAACTTGTCCAATAACGCCGAGTTTTCCTGAATAATCCTAAATAAGCCTTCTTTTTTACGGGAATAACCTGTTCTGATTTTCCCTCAAACTTTAAAATATTTATATGGCTAAAAATATTAATATATTATATATATATATATATATATATATATATATATATATATTAAAAATATATATATATATATATATATATATATATATATTAATATATTATATATATTATATATTTGTGCAAATCAACTTATTGTTAGTTAATTGAGAAATATGGAACAATTTTATATTATATTCGAGATTAAGAAATTGTAGAATATTCATAAATTTTACGTTTTTGATAATTTAATAATTGAATTGAAAATAATGTGCACCCCACTAATGCATTGTATTCTAAAAATTATTGATGTGTTTCTGGAAATGTATAAATTTGGAAGAATGTTGCATCTTTATTTCTAAATCTAAACAAGATCATGAAAAATTAATAAAATAACTTTGGAAATTTCTAAGATTGTTAAAATTTCTAAAATTAAAAAATGTAGAATATAACAAAATTTGAGTTGCCGGTTATTAATCTCATAATTAATATCTTTTTCTTATAAAACAAGCTTCTAAGACATGAAATTTTACGGAATATTGAATATCTACAGCTCCGCGAAGCACAAAGACTTCAAAGTTCTCGAGCATCAAAACTTAATTCAAAACTCAATAAGATCTCAATAACTAAACGCTAATTTGCACGGAGCATAAGTTTGCAAAGCTTTGCAGCGTATCGGTTTTCTCTAATTTATTTATCGATCCCTCTGTTGCAATAAACAGCCCAGGAATGCGGAACACGTTTATTTTGCAATAACATATGGTCAATAAAAATAGAATTTCGGCAAACAAACGCGCTATTGATCGCAAACGCTGGGGAATTTATGTTTGTGCTTATGAATATTTCATGTCTATTTTTTAAATATTTACCGGCGTGGTTTTTTCATGGTATCACTAATAGGCACCATACGCGCGTATATGCGCGTGTTTGTCAAGGTGAAATATTTGTAGATCCTGATATTGCGCAAAAATGTAATACTAAAATCGTCATAAACGGCAACAAAATATTTTGAACGCGCGGGAATATATTTTTTCCACTTTTTTTTTTTATTTTACGCGAACGCTTCATCCAATTTTTCCTCCATCTCCAATTAAGAAATATATATATCGTATATCGTATAATTAGTAATATAATATTCCATTAATTACCCTGTGTACCTATATATATATATATATATTTCTCTACAAAATATTAAATATTAAATATACTACAACATTTAATGATCTTCAAAACATTTATGATGCTTAGCTACGTAGGAGCTTATTAAACACAAGATGGAGAGTACATACAAAAAACCTTAACAAATACGGTGTAGCGTATAATATTATAAATGTATCTGCACAACGTCTGCATAATAAACTCTCTCTCTCCTTCATTCTGTATTCCGCCATCATTTTGAAGATATTAGTCACGTTTCGTGCGAAATAATTTCAATTTTTGCTACTTGTCCGCTGGTTTTACATAACTAGGATTCAAGATAGAGGGCAAAAAGCTCCGATTAGCGTGAGCAAAAATATTTTAACTCTAATCTACAGAAGGACGTCGCTTTTCACATCTCTATACTATATATGATCGTCTCTTACGCGTCTCCTCTCTCTCTCTCTTTTTTCACATCTCTCTTTCGGCCAGGCGGAGCTTTCTGCGCGCTCATGAATATGGAAAATTAGACGCTTTTCGATGCTCTTTTTTCGACCGCAAATTGATTCCGCAAGTGGTGCGTGCAGAGTGCGACGGCCAAACCGAAAGAAAAAGGGCGGATTTCGAGAAAAAAAGTGCAATTCGCACGAGTGGAAATTAAAATTCGCTTTCGGGACGAGTATAAGTTACAAGAGAAAAAAAAAAGGATGGGAGAAAAAAAGCGCAAGCGCCGCGTTTCGTGTCCCGAATAAAGTCGCGTATATCTATTCGCGATATTACGTTATTAAAAATCTTTGCATTTTCGTGTCCTCTGTCTTTCGCGACTATATTAAAATCCAAGAGTTTTCTCCCCCTCGATATCGGAAATTGATTGAGAATTTTGTATATAACTTACTTACCCAGTTTTCACAAAGTTCGCGAAATACTGCATGATACTTTCCGAGAGTGCCACTTCCAGTCTCGTGTAGTTTTTCGGAAAATGGCCAAATCCTTCTACCCACAATGGCGCCCCGAAGACGAATGGAAGTTCCTCGCCGTGCACCGAGCCCATTTTCTGTAAACAGAGCAAAGAAAGTAGGATTAAAACATATTTTTTAATTTTTTGTAACGTAATAACTTAAAAAAAAAATACAAAAGGATCAGTTTTTGGTGTAAAAATTTTTTTTAAAAATCTGTAGAAAAATTTTTGAGACATTTTGTAGAAAAATGAGATCGTCGCAAATCGCGATAAGGATGATAAGAATAGATGGGGAAATTTAATGTTAATTGCGGAGAGGACGCGCAAAACCGTATTAAAATTAATTGCGATAGATTACGCAGTTGATAGATAAAAATGGATGACGTTTTAAGAAAAATTTTTTACACCAAAAAATTTGTAGAAGAATTTTTGAAAAATTAAAAAAAAAAAATGAGATCGTCGAAAATTCCAATAAGGATGATAAAGATAGATGGGGAAACTTAATGTTAATTGCGAAAGGGAGGGCGCGCAAAACCGTATGTGTTGAAATTAATCGCGATAGATTACGCAGCCAATAGATAAAAATGGATGACGTTTTTCACCTGGTCCGCTTTAATTGCGCGGGGAGCCGACTATAAATCAGAAATACCGCTTAATATCAGCCGGGGGATTTAGAGACGACGTCGTCGTCGTCGTCAGCGCGAGCTTATCCGCAAGCTCGATCATCGCGGACACGTCAGATGCGATTCAATTTCTCCGGCGAATTACGTTCTAACTGAAACGTTCTAGCTGACGTTTGACCCTCGGTTCAAAAGACGGATAAAGTATTTGCGGATGAACACGTAATCTATGGGTCTTTTCAGTTATTAGCCCTTCTGTCATTGAACGGTTTTCCCAAGCTACTTTAAATGTGTCCTTTGTTAAAAGGGTCTTTGTATTCCCCTCCTAAAATATAAGAGAAAAATTGTTCGATACCCAGTGGCTGTAATAAAAAAAATTATCACAATGTGTCAAAAACATGCACCGAAAAAAATTGTATTTTTTTTATCTTAAGTATAAGCCAAATATTTTTATAATATATCCTTCACTAAAATGGATTCTCTTAATTTAAGAGAAAAATTTTCGAAAGATATTCTTTTTGCATATTTTTAACATTGTGTATCATTGAAATTATTAATCGTGATAACACATAAATAACAGTCTTACAAATGAACATTTATTATTTATTACATATACATTTATATTTAAAATATCCATATAATTGAATATTTTTTATTTGACATAATTAAATACATATTTTTACTCTTATTATATTATTATTTTTAATATCAATTGACAAACTTATAAATTTAAATAATTTTATTTTACTAATTTATTTTTAATTTATTAATTTAATGCGAAACTAAAGTTGCGAAAAAAAATTAAAAATATATTCTTAATTTAAGAAGATATTCCAAAAAACATTATATAAAAGCTAGGGAATATCTTTATTCATTAAGAATATCTGTTAAGAGGATTTATAAAGTATGTATTTTAAGAAAACAATTTTTTCAATGTGCACCCATATATTGATAAAAAATTTGATGAAAGATTGTCAGAAGGCTTAAGATAAATTTTAATATCTTGTTTAGATCTTCCTATCAGCTCAGGATCGTATAGATATGGAAATAACACTGCGATACAAATCGTCGTGCTCGAAATGCGAGCTTACAGGATATCTCTCCAGTTATTATAGACTCGTGGATTTTGGATTCTACGAATTTCGGAGGTGTACCAGGAGACTCTCCGGAATCGATCTGAGGCACAAGTCCGCGAGGAAGCTATCTGTTCCAGCAAGCACACTGAAATGGAATCGGTGATTCTAAGGCGATTACGTACGTACACGTCCGTGCCGAATGGCGCACGAAAGGGCATTTGCCAAGTAGACGAGCTTAGTTCCGAATCGGTACTGGTTAAGATGCTGCCTGCTCTATCAATAGGGCAAGAGAGAGAGAGAGAGAGAGAGAGAGAGAGAGAGAGAGAGAGAGAGAGAGAGAGAGAGAGAGAGAGAGAGAGAGAGAGAGTGAGAGCGGAAACGATAGCAGACAGATAGAGCGAAAGAAAGGAAACAGTGTTTATTTCTTACAGGCAAAATGCATTTTTGGCAAGGAATTCGGTCTCTATCCTATATGACACTCTATATAACGTGAATCATATATAAAAGTAAGATATAAAAATGATATATAAAAATAATAAATATATATAATATAAAATAAAGATTATATATGTAAAGAAGATAGAAATATAAAATAGTCAGTGTTTGTTGTTATCTAAATAAAATTAAAGAGATAATCAGCTAGATAAATTTTTGTTGTTGTGATCTTATTTTTATGCAGATAATAAAAATATTAATTATCTATATCTGTATCTTATTGTAAGATAAATTTACATCTCATCTTCATCTAGCTAATTTTTAAATCATCTAAGCACAAGACTGAAAATAGTAAAATAATAAGTAAAATAACAATAGGAATATATCAAATAATATTAAAAAAAAGATAAATAGAAATTAATAAAATAATGTCTATAAAATTATAAATAAAATAACAATAGGAATATATAAAGTAATATTTAAAAAAAAAAATAAAAAAGAGATAAAAATTAATAAGGTCCAAGAATAATAAACTTAAAATAATATTAAAAATCCGGGAAGCGCAATATAAAGTAGTGAGATAATAAATAAAATAACAATAGGAATGTGTGTAATATTAAAAAAGCTGAAAAGAAAAGAGAGAGAGAGAGAAAACTGGAGAGGAGGGATGAAATATGATACACAAGAGCCGAAATCCAAAATGTCCGTGTTGCGTATACATCACTGTCGGAACGAATCCGGAGCTTTATCGAAGTTGTTTCACCAACTAGATTCCGTCATTGTCGAGAGCGTCGGCTAACCGGCAATATACGACTGCTACCGATACCATTAATTTCATTAAGGTGCATCCCGGTAAGCTCCTGGTGCGATTCGCCCGGAGGGTGATTGATGCGTCGCGATCCGAGAACGGAATTCGATCGTCTTTATCTTGATCAATTTGTGATCCTCCCCATATAAGTTGTGACTCTTCTCTTTCGGTTATATAAGAATATATATATACAGGGTGTAACTAAACAAAGGTATACGAAGCACATCATCGGATGCAGGATAACAAACTAAATCGAAAAGTCCTGAGCCATTTTTTAATCTGAACTTTATTAGGCCTTAGTATGTCTACCAAGGCGGGGCCTATGCTGTTTTTCGTTGTAGCCACGCGCTAATTGGCACACTTTAACAATTTATAGCATCCTAATAACCATATAAATAATATAAGTGACATAATCACCCTATACATTGTTCAAGTGTGCCAATTAGCGCGTGGCTACAACAGAAAACAGCGTAGGCCCCGCCTTAGTAGACCTTAGTACGCCTACTAAGGCGGGGCCTACGTTGTTTTCCGTTGTAGCCACGCGCTAATTGGCACACTTTAACAATTTATAGCATCATAATAACCATATAAATAATATAAGTGACATAATCACCCTATAAATTGTTCAAGTGTGCCAATTAGCGCGTGGCTACAACAGAAAACAACGTAGGCCCCGCCTTAATAGGCCTTAGTACGCCTACTAAGGCGGGGCCTACGCTGTTTTCCGTTGTAGCCACGCGCTAATTGGCACACTTGAACAATTTATATCGTGAAAAATAAAGCTCAGATTAAAAAATGGCTGAGGACTTTTCAATTTAGTTTGTCGTCTTGTATCCGATAATGTGCTTCGTATACCTTTATTTAGTTACACCCTGTATACGTATAGAGCTTTGCCGCCGCCGCACACGACAAGATTGATCAGCGAGAGATCGTCTGAGATATCGGATTATCGGAATATTCGATCGATCGATCGGATGACGATTGATGAGCCGCGTGTGAGACTCCGATTATCCGACGATCATTTGTTGAGCCCCGAGGAATAAACGGCCCGATCTTTCGCTCTTTGAGAATGGATTTTCAGCGATTTGTCCGGCGTTCCTTTCGCTCGGCGTGGCATAATAAATCGACGCCGATGACCTCTCGCGTTCGCGAAAAGTCCGAAAATTGGCGCGGGTGTGAAATTAAAACGAAAAAAAGGAAGAGGGCAAAAGCGACGATGCAAGGATGAAAGAGAGAATGGCGCGCGTTCACGTCGCGCTTTCAACGCTTTTTGGCAGCGGGTCTCGCGACCGCCCCGTAACTTTTAGTTTTTATTCTGCAGTTCTTTTTTCGTTCCAATTTCACTCCCCTTTTCGGTCCCCGGAGGTGCCCGTCCGTATGCGCGCGCGCTCGGCTACCATAAAGTCGACTTCCGGCGTGTCTGGCATCGACAATCGCAGTCGCGGAGTGCAACGGCCGGACAATTTCACGGTTTAACGCCACAAATGGAAGACAAGTCGTCCTATCGCGCCGGGTCGTCGTCGACGACGAAATTCGTTTTGACCGCTTTTGTCTTGATTATCCCGTCGAAAATCCAATCGGATCGTCTATATTCTAAAACCTTGCGAAGATTGAAGAATTATCTGTTCCAGGTAGCAACAGCAATTATTATGACACCGTAAATGTAGTAGGATTTCTTCATTCATATTATAAATAAGATTTGTTTTAGAAAGGCTGTTATGATGAAATTGTCTTCCGGGAAATGCAAGAAATATGTCTACATATAAAAAAAATTATAATAAATATATCAATTTTTTATATCTTTCTCTTTAAAATGAGTAATATAATAATTCAAGTCACTTATTATATCTTAAGTTTTTCTTATATAATATTTATAAGAGTTAAGACGCTTCATGAAAAATCTCTTTTATTTCTTACGTTCAGTATTTATTTAAATGTGATTTTTTCCATCTATTGATAATTCTGGAAAAAATTCAGGAATTTAATTTCGAAGATTAAATTCCCGCCGAACGCTTTTGATTTGTATTCTTTTACGAGAAACAAAACAATTTCGATCATTCGTTTTTCTCTGATTCAATCGACCGGTCCTTTATAAATTCTGTTACATGCGTTTTTTCGATGCTCGCAGATTATTTAGAAACGGTCGTTGAAAATTTT